AATAAAACAACTTCCTGATATTGACGATTTTGACGCAATCTATGCTAGAAAAAGATTAATCTCACAGAAGCGAATACTCCAAACAACCAATACCGCAAACAAAACAGGCTGACCACGAACTGCGGGCACTTAAACGTATCGGTTTGCAGCCACCACCATGATGTGTTAACGAAAAACAGTACATCAAGCTTCCTGCATCGCACAGAAGACGACATAAAACCAACGGGAACAAACAACTTGCGAATGTTCAGTGCTAACTTGTTAAGACAAACGCAAAACAGCACTGACTAGTTCACGTACTGAAACATCCCCTCTGATTTCGGTACTTACCAGTAAAACGATCGGCTCCAGAGCCGAAATAGCTCCTGCGCGATTGAACCAAGTCGAGTACCCGATCCAAACTGCCATTGTTCGGTGCCGGATCACTTAGTCCGATCAGGTGACACACGAGCGGATAAATGTCAACCATGTGAATCAACGGGATTGTCTTAGTTCCAGTGTGTGGACGAAATTCGGGTCCCATAGCCAGGAAAAACGGATATACTTCGGGCCAATCAGTCGAATAGCCATGATCACCAGCGAGATCTATGAGTAGCCGCAATGGAGAAGGTTCCAGTGTGACAATGTAGACAAAACGGAGAATCAGTTCAAAGCACGGAAGTGTTTAGAATGTTCATGTGCAACCGATTAACCGAAAACTCAAGTCGCTTACATGGTAAACATGGGTTAGACAGATGAGGTAAATCGTACTCTCAACGGATTTACTGTACAAGATTCGTGTTTCAATCGGTTCTAGGGGAGAATATTAGCAGGAACCAGAAATGCGTGGGACGGGGACGACAGGCTGCCGTAAAAACTTATCGTTCGTTGATTGGTGTCACGGATGAACAAAGGTTTAGAATTGTGGATGAGTTCTGGATTACTAGCCAAGATAAGGAATATCTGAGACGTACAGGAGGGGGAAAACGCATACAGGATATAAAGCTGAGGCAGAATGTTCCGAAATTGCATAGCAAATGGAAAGAACCACGTCTAGGGGCAGCAATCAGACCGACCGTTTCGGAGGTGGTGAATGTCATACTACGAAACAAACTCTAGTTTGCCATTTGGTCGAGTTACTGCGCACGGATCGACGCAATAGCAGAAAATATATGATGATCAAGTGCAACTTATGCTCAATAAAATACGCTATACTATCGACAAAGCGTGGAAAACCAGTCATACTATTTACAAAAGAATGTATCTGTAAAACTCGAGCAGTGTGACATGAACGTGAGGATCACTATTACTTTATACCAGTTATCTCATGACGTGTTTGAATTGTGCACGAAAGCTAACGGTTGATGGTTGTAAGAATTGAACTGACTGGACTTGAATTGGGTTCCAAATATCCGAATCTGAGCCCCGAAGAACTGAACTATACAGCGAAAGAATCGCGCACAAAAGTTGAGGACCCGTAGGTAAAACCAAGGGGAAAGTGTATTCCCGCTTTGCACCAAAAGCGTTTCTCGCTTGTATGTGCAAGTAGTTCAGTTTCAGTTTCTACAACCATTAACCATACACTATCGTGCGCCGGTTTTGGTTGCTGTCTTTTGGTTGCCCATTTGTATGAACATAAGGAGAATGACAGGAAACGTTGAAAGTAGGATTGAAGAGATAATTTAGGATTTTATTGCACTCATTTTGTAGAGAAATCGACAAGATGTACGAACGCCACTGTTTACGATACCCAACCATATCACTCAGTGTCTTTAACCATCGGTGACTATCATCCCGAGGTCCCCATCGAGGGAGCCTAACGGGACCTATATGACCCACATTCCTGGTTGGGGGGTTCATACCCTCGTGCCAGGTCTTGACTTGACCACCCTGGACTTTCTTCCACTCATTACCTGCCTAGCTCGCCGTGGCAACCAATTTGGTGACATGCATAACACGCGCTCCAACCAACGTAATCCATGGAGGTCGACTACTTGCTCCATAAGGCGACCGCATTTACCTAAAACTCAGCACTGCTCGTCCGGCTGTCCCACCAGATTCGTGCAATGCTGCGTAGACAGTCTACCTTTATCTTGTTTCCTTAATGGCCAAGTTTCGGCGACGTATTGCAGAACTGGCCGAACTGCTGCAGCATACACTCTACCCTTCACAGACAGCCGGATGTCGCGACGACGCCACAGATGTCTCACGTTGGAAAATGCCAATCGAGCTTTCTGTATGCGAGCTGACACTTCATCCGTGATGCATCCACCGCGTGAGATATGGCTGCCCAGATAGCAAAATTTATCTGCTTGTTCTGTTACATCCCCAGTTAGGATGAGGCTGGGTGCAGAACCAACCCAGTCTTGTAGTAACATTTTACACTTTGAAGGTGCAAAACACATACCGAACCTGGTTACACAAGCACTCACACAATCCAGAAAGGCTTCTAACTTGCCTGAATCTTCACTTAGTAGCACAATGTTGTCTGTATATTCTAGATCAGACAGCCTGTCACCTGGGAGTAAATCGATACCGCCATCCTCGCACGAGAATAGGGCTGTTTCCATAATCAGATCTATCACAAAGTCAAACAGAAACGGGGAGAGAGAGTAACCTTGTCGAACACCACTTTCCATGGTGAACTTGGGCGAAAACGTTCCGTAAGCTCGGACTCGACTTTGGCTACTAGTATAAAGTATAAAGTATAAATAGTATAGTATAGTAGTAGTATAGTGGTAGTATAGTTTAGTATAGTATAGTATAGTATGGTA